CTGTTAAATTATTTTTTTGAGTCGATGTCTCTGTGGTCTAGGTTGGAGTGCAGTGGCACGATCACAGCTCACAGGACCCTCAACCTCCTGGGCTCAGGCGATCCTTCCACCTCAGCCTCCTTCCACCTCAGCCTCCTGAGTAGCTGAGACTACAGAGGCACACACTACCACACCTGGATTATTTTTCGGTGATTTTTTTTTTTTGTAGAGATGAGGTCTTGCTGTGTTGCCTTGGCTGGTCTTGAGCTCCTGGGCACAAGCAATCCTTCTACCTCAGCCTCACGAAATGCTGGGTTTATAGGTATGAGCCACAGCACCCAGCTGAGACCAATAAATTCTTGACAATGAAAATAGTCCACTGCAATGGGCTCCCCTCTTTTTTTAAAAAAAAAATACAATCAGAGGCTTTTCTCTGTTCCAGCTAATGGGAGGCGGGGGGCCACGCATTAACCAGACACAGTTCCTCCACTGAAGAAGTTTATAGGCTCTGAAGGTGTTTCGGTTTGGTGTTTATCAAGCCCAGGAAATATACACAAATTAAGGTCCCAGGGAAGTAGGCTTGAATGGGTAAATGTTGGCTACAAGTGTGTACGAACTAGGAAGGCATTAAAGAAAGGCCAAGCATATCTGGATCTCAGGTATATTTGGATCTGTCTGGAGTCCACCGGGCAATGCCATGTGTATATTTGGATCTGTCTGGCGTCCACCGGGCAAAGCCATGTGTCAGTCTGACTCACTTGTTTGTCAGGAGCTCCAGGGGCAGGCTGTGTATCAGAGACTTATGACTTTGGTTTCTTTGCTCTGGAGGCCAACAGTAGGAGTCATTAATGATGGACTCCTGATTTATAGGGCTTACTGAAAAATATACAATGTTTGTGTTTCTTCCCCAGATTCCCTCCCACTTTTACGGGTGCTGTTAAGTTTAATTTCAGCATGTTAAGTAATTTGTGACTCACTGAAATGAAACTTAATTCAGTCCTCATAAAAACAGAATAAGATGGTATTTCCATGTTTCATGTTATGGTTTCAATCAGCCTGCTATTTGAAACGTAGTGGAATCTACTCAAAATGCCATTTCAGAGCCTCTCATCTCCTACCAACTAGTTACTATGTTCCTCAGAATTTCCCAGAATGCCTTCTGCAGCCCCAAAATAGCAAAATTTATAGCTGAAGGGAAAGGAGGGAAAAGCTAGTAAGCAAGCCATGGCAATATTTCTGTAAGTGCCATCTTACACAAAATGTGAATGACTTTTACCTTTAATCTAGGATAATCAGATAATGATATCAGAAAACAGATACAGACCTTCTACTCACTAGATCCCTACTTTTTAAAAAAATTATGATCACTACTATTTTGTTTAATCAGTTTTCCTTGCCTTACTCATTCACAAGTACCACAGGAATCCAGAACATTCCATTTTGCTTATTACTGCAACAAAGTCTAAATACTGTATGTGTAATTTATGATTTTACTTAGGTATGCTCAATTTTTACAGTAAAACTTCATAACTAATGATTAGGAGTTCTGTGAGAATTGATACAAGGGTGGGCTTAGGTTAATCTTTACAGTATCTCTCTGAAGAAACAGTACTGCTTGAAAAATTGCAGATGGTTTTTAACTTCCCTCAGAAAGTGAGTTGTTTCTCGGGGTTTTCATCTTGAGAGGTTCTTGCAGGCAGGTGCTGCTGCCACCTGCCATGAGGATGGCCCTTCTGCGAGGACGGCAGACTGCCTGGAGGCAATGGGTCGCAAGGGTGCATCCATCCAGGAGACGGTGCTTCTGAGAAATGGTGGGCAGGGTCTCCCGACCGGCAGCAAGAGACTCCTGAGCACACCGTGGGACATCATGGAAGGCGCCTTCCTCTGCACCTCTGTGCCCCGTGATTCTGCTTGGTTAGCGGCAGGCTGGGTGCAGGTGCCAACACACGCCATGGCGATGCCAGAGATGGAGGCCCTGGAGACAGGATGGGGGTGGGGGGGGCGGGGGAGCTCTGTGGGGGAAGGAATGGCATCTGGAACGGGGAAGGCATGTGGGCCCAATGTCATTCCCATCACACCTGTAATGGTCTGAATGTCTGTGTCTTCCAAAATTCTTATGTTGAACCCCTGATCCTGATGTGACAGTATTTGGAAGTGAAGCCTTTGGGAGGTGATGAGATCATGAGGGTGGAGCCCTCATGAATGCAATTAGTGCCTTCGTAAGAAGAGGTTGGAGGGATAGCTAGCTCTCTTTCTGCCACTTGAGGATGCAAGAAGACAGTAGCCTGCAACATAGAAATGTGCCCTCACCAGAACTCAACCACACCTTGATCTTGGACTTCTAACCTCCAGAATGCTGATAAATCAGTGTCCATTATTTATAAGCCACCCAGTCTATGGTGTTCTGATATAGCACCCGAACTGAGACAATACCCAAGTGCAGAGCAGGCTTGGGTGCTACAGCATCCGGAAGACCAGACCCAAGGCTGTTAAAATGCCTTGGGTAGCATCTTGTCCCTGTTCCACTGACTAAAGGACCAAAGGTTTCACTGTCACAGCATGAGGAAGATTCCTAGTCGTTAAGGCTGAAATTAAAATGAGGCCATGGAAGGGGTCCATGAACACAGATCTCTGAGCTGAAATTATGTCTAGCCAGTAACACAGATCCCACCGACTAGAGAATTTCAGGATTCTTCGAAATGCCTCCCATTGGCAAAAACACTGCCGAAGAGGCTGGCGAGAGGCTGGGAGTCTCAGCTAGTGCTGCTCTGATGGGTATAAGAGCTCGGACATGGGAGATTGTTAACCAAGATACAATGGCAGTTGTTGGGCAGGATGGCTCATTGCAAGTGTGTAATTTCGGAGGAAAACACACCCTGCACTTGGCTTGCCACAGATTTACCAAGAACTGTCAGCAATGCCTCATTTCAGTAATAATGATAAGAACTTTGTTCACGCTGCCGGAGGGAATGGGTCTTGGATACCCTCAATCACTCACCACTGTCTCCTTCCCGGGAGGCTGCCGTGCCAAGCCTCGTGGGCACCCAGTGTTGATCACCCACACTCATCTGTATTTCATAACACAGGCAGGCAGTGCGAGAGGAGCCTGGACCTTGTTGAGCTTGTCCCTGAAAAATCCCAGTTTGGGATTGTCTTGGATTTTCGCAGGAAAAACTCCACCAGGGTTGAAAAAGTTTGTGTAGAAATCACCTCAGAAGCTGTCTTTGTGTCTGTGTCTTCCTGTCTTGCTTCCTTTTATTCTGATTTTCACTCACTCACCAAAACATTGATGCCTACGCATTCTGCCAGGCATGGGAAGAAAAGAGAATGCATCTGCTCCCTTGGACAGGCAGACCCGAGGCTTCGAGGCCAGAGTCTCGCACAGCCACGGTTAAATGAGGATGACAGTGTCTCCCCAACACAACATCAGGGGACTTACTTGTTTTCAAATGTTTTTAAGATTTCCCTGAAACTGAGCTTTAGAGATGGTGTGGGTCTGAATCATCACAAGCCACACAACTCCTGGAAAGCAGTTTCTCTTTTCCTAATAAACTCAGAAAGGCCCTCAGTGGCCCTTGACCAGTAGATTCCTTAGTCTCACACAGGGCTGGATAATGGAGGCCAAGCAAGCAAGCACAAAAATCAGAGGAAGACCTGGTTTTGTTGCTATGCTGAATGTATGGCAACCTGGACACTGATCCACCTGCTCCAGACCCTGGAAGCTGCGATCCCTGACAGCTCTCGGTGGGTTCACCTGCTGAGGACACAGATGAGGGAACCTGGTCACAGCGTGGAATGAACAGGTGTTCATAGCTGAGGCAGGAGGGCTCCCTGGAAATGATGGTCTGAATGTTTTCCTCTGCCAAATTCCTATGTTGAAATTCGAACTCCCAAGATGATGGTCTTAGGACATGGGATATTTTGGGGAGTGATTAGTTCATGAGGGCAGAATTCCTTCAAAAGTGACCTACAGAGAGACCTCTTGCCCCTTCCACATGAGGACACAGTGGAAAAATGCCATCTATAAGAAATACACCCTCGCCAGACACTGAATCTACTCATGCCTTGACTTCCCAGCCTCCAAAACTGTAAGCAGTAAGTTTCTGGTGTTGATAAGTTGCCCAGTCTACAATACTTTGCTATAGCAGCCTGAGTGGACCAAGACACTGAACTCTCTCACAACATGCCCAGCTTGGTCTGAGACATCGGGGAATATGGTACCTGTGGCATAACTGAGGTGGCATCATCTAAGCCATGCCCCTCTGTGTACTGAATATATGCAACCTCTTGACCACCCGCCTTTCCTCCCCCCACCCTCTGCTTCCAATTCTAGTTGCTGCATGATATCAGAAGGATGCTTGTTCTGCTGGACACACAAGGAGCACAGAGTCACCTCTGCCACCCCAGGCCAGGGGCACCACCTCGGGAGGGCAGTGGCAACAAGTAACCCTCAGCTGAGGCAGGTGGAGGTGGAGTTTCCTTCTTTCCTTTCTCTTCTTAACTGGCATTTGTCAGTGTTCTAATGTGTCATGGACAGCTAACATTCAGGTGGGTTTTGGGACTGTATTCCAGTGAGTGGAGTACCTTGCAAGAGCCAGGCACTGGCAAAGGAGTTGGGTGCCACTTGCAAAGGAGTTTGATCAGTTTTACCATACCTTCTTCAGGTAAACGGAGCACAGCTTGCCCATAACCTCCAGTCTCATCTTAGTATTCTGCCTGCCTTTTTTGGGCCATGATGTCTAATGTACTTTAAAAGTTTTGAGATGCTCACATTGCTCATGTTCTTTCAACCATTGCAACTCCTTGTTGGCCTGCTGGGGGCCACCACCCAGTTACTGCTGAGGGCTGGGTGGTGTGCTGGGCACCATTAGCTGTAGGAGGCAGCGCCATCAGGTGCCTTCCTGAGAAAAACCGACTCCCTCAGGCCTCCTGAGGCCTCAGCTCCACCTCAAGTCCCCTTTGGGGAGAGGGAGCCTCCCTCGAAAGCCCTCCACCCAAAGACTTAAGGAAAAGCATATCACCTGGCACCTGCCATGCACGCAGAGGTCCGTCTCGTAGGGCCCGCAGGGAGTGCCGTCCAGGACCCTGTCAGCCACCAGCAGCGGGGACTCCTTCCCAAGGGGTGAGCAGTAGAGTTCACATGGCTTATCTGAGGAGGGAAAGGTTGGTGGACATTTACCTGGGAAAGGGTACATGGGCAACGCAGGGCACAGGTACATATGGCCCATGGACAAGCCCAAGGGAAGAGTGGTCAGCACGGGTAAATAAAGATGGGTGCCCTCAGGTCCATGCACCAGAATCTTCAACACTAGCCCGGCGATTGGAAAAAGACCCGCAGACTCAGCTGGATGACAGCACAAGTCAGAGTTCCAGGGCTTCCTTCTCCTTGTTTTCTTTATCCTTTGCAAAGATAGGGCATTTCATTTTCCTCAAAGCACCAAACATACAAGGCTGGACAAAAACGTAGCTGTGTGCTCGCCTCTTTGTAAGCTGGACACCTGTCAAGGATGGGCCTGGGAACTGCTCTTATGGGGGTGAGAAAGGGGGAGGTGAATGAGAATGTCCGTGAGTAGGGAAGCAGGTTCCCAGGGGGATCTTCCCCAGAACCAAGAGGTCTCCACGGCAGTGGCTTTACTAAAAGCTCTAGCACTTCCCTGGCTGCTGGGTACCAGTCCAGAGTTGAGCTACGGAACATGAAGTCCTGGAAGAAACTGAGCAGGAATGAGGTACCGAAGGGACACATGGGCCGCCAGTCCTGTACACAGGCAGGGTGGAAACCCCAGTTTCCATGGCTCTTGGAACATACCCAGCTCTCGTAGCTTTCCCTGGCCTGTTCTCTCTGCCTGGAAATCCCACCTGTCTTTGACCTTCTAAAAGGCTCTATCACACTGGAAGCTTCCACCCTAGGGCCTCCCTCTCTCATGTCATCTCTGATGCAGGGTAGGACAGGCATCTCCATACACACTCTGCCACACCTCCATTCAAGCCCCTGCCACCCACCTGTGATCCTATAATTGTTTGGACACCTCCCATTTATAAAGGAATTTATTAGAAAGCAGGTCCCATTGCGATAGGAATGTGGAAGGCATTAATTTTAATTACTTTCAGACTGAAGCAATGATGCACCTGGGAGCCCTTAGAGGGGAAGGAACCAAGTTTTGATCTTTTGTCCCCAGATTGAGTCCAAGACCTGGCTCACAGAAGGACACTCAGTATATATTTTTGAACAAGACAGATTTTGTTCTTCTGTAAGTAACTAAGCAGAGGAATGCTCCTTTTTCTCTTGCTCTCGGTCATCTAACCCTAATACCATTTATGTAGTACTTTATTTGGGGGAACCTCCGGTGAGTTCCTGTTGCCTTGCTGTGCTTTTTGTCTCCGCCATCTGCCTTCCCTAGTGGGTCTTTCCAGCAGTTTGGGGCTAGCAAGGTCAGAGGCAGTGAAAAGAAGCCTTCTGAAGCTCACTTGGCCTTGGAGGAGCTCGTCATCCCAGTTAGAGAGTTTCTGTCAGAGCAGATGTGCAGTCTTATTTAGCCTTGGGGCCCTCGTGATTGGATGACTAAGCCACCCTGGGTTTGTTCACTTTCCAGAGCTCCTCTCCCATGGAGCTCTACTGGTCAACACGCTTGGTGGAAAACCTTGACCTAGGGCACTAGAAAGAAGCTCGAGGGGTGTGGTGGGAAGGCTGGATTCAGTGCTTCCAGTTTGTTGTGGTGGAAAAACATCTGTTCTGAAGAGCAGACTGGAGATCCTTAGTTTTCCAGGGCAGCAAAATAATAACACATCAACATTTATTCAATCAACAAGCATAGAGTGAACTGCTCCTTCTCAAAGGCACTCTGCAGACACTTCTGGGAAAAGAGAGACATGGAACGTATGTGTTTCAAGGCCCCGGTAGGCTCATGGACAAGTATACCGCAAACCCAGGATGAGGCAAAAAATGTAACAAGTCCCATGAGATGGGTCTGATGTGAGCCACCAGAGACCTGGGCGTCATCTGGAAGGAATGGCTCATTGCCTGTGCTGGCATGCCAAGGGCAGTCCTCCCTCTGCTTACAGGGAAAGACCTGGGGGGGCAGCTAGTGGAAGGAAAACTGAAAGATGGTGACGAAAACTGGTATCAGCTCTCGGAGGCTCATTTGGCAAGATGATGGAGGTGATCCTTGGGGCTCCGGGGTTCTTGAACTTCTTGGGGAGCTGGTGGGAGACACACAGTCACGCAGCCACCTTGAGGTAGCCTCTACTCCGTACATGGGCTGACTCTAATGTTTCAAGGGAAAGAAGGGTTGCTTGGCTAAAGTGGCTTGAAACTGTGGATTTCAACTACCTTTAGGCTGAAGGGCTAAACCAGGACTGGGAGTAAAGGCGCTCTGAGGTGATTTGTTCGATAGCAGCAATAGTTATATTGTGCTACATAGTGTCTGTTTCAGGTGGGTGCTGCCAGTGTCCCATCATACAGATGAGCACACGGGGCTTGCAGAATGTGCATGGCCGCCCAGAGGCCCTCGGCTGGCAGGGCCATGCCCTGGTCTCTTCGCTTCAGTCTGGAGCTCTTTCCACCATCGCTATTTACTTTTTGAATCAAGAATTCTTGGGCCAGGCTGGGTGGCTCAGCCTATAATCCTGCGCCTTGGGAGGCTGAGGTGAGTGGATTGCCTGAGCCT